ATCCTGGCTGTATTGAACAGACAAGGATAGGAGTCACTGTTTTCACATGCTGTCGTGCTGCTGTATGCCTTTTCATTTCTGAATGTTGTATTTTTTTCCACTACTCAGAAGAAAATTTTCTTCAGAAGTAAACAGCGTGAGTCACTAATGTATGAACTATGAAGATGCTTGCAAAACTTCTCTTTAGATTAAAGCAAGCCCAGGCTAAATTTCAAGGCTTTTTTTTTCAGTATAGTTTAGTAAAGAGATGATTCAGATGTCTAGCACATTTCTGTGCTAGACTCTCTGTGATAGATAAAAGATCAAGAAAGACTTTTTTGTGAATATTAGCAATTACTGTGTGCTAACAAGCTCTTAAAAACCTTCCCAGAAACAGCTGAAGTTTTTATAACTCAGAGGCAAAGATCATCACAGCTATAGCTGACTTTCTAACAAACTTTTTGATATGTTGACCCCAAGCCCATTCTCCAACCACACTGGTTATAACGCATTTAGCGGAAAATGCATGGGATGCATCTAGCGGAAAAGATAGTTCAGGTGACCATATCCACTATTTTTAAAGAATGAGGGTGATTTTGTGAAGTTGAACAAGGTGAGAACGAAACCAAATCCTACAATTGCAGCAAGTCCTGGAATTTGTTTACAGATATGACTGTTAGATCCTTACCATTAGGAGGATTTTAATCTACAATAATCGTAACACTTTGCGAAGGCTCTTAAGATAACCGATACCAGCAACTAATGCAAAGTGTGTGTGCAAGAAAGCAAGCTCAAGTATATGTGCTCAAGCTCCTTGGAGCAGCAGAGGAAACCAATCCGTCCGTCCAGATAGCTATGGAAGCACAGAACAGATAATACAGCACATCACAGAAATAGGCAATAAGATGAGATAGTAAAAACCCATCAACATACATCATCTGATCATGGTAGGGTGTCATCTCCCAGCCTCTATGAGCTCTTGCTGCATCCGTGCAAGTCCCAGACACTTTATCCTGTTTATAATTGCTGATGAGCAGTAATAAGGCCTCCATGCCTCAGATCCTGTCCGTTCCACTTCAGCACCCACCTATTAGGTTGTAACTTTTATTTACAGCCTTGCCTGATGCGCGGTTCTATTAGGACAGCTGGAAACTGAGGGAGGGGTGGGGAGCGTCTCTAACAGGCACTATTATTGCCAGGGCCGGGTGATTTATCGCGCTGCTCGAAGGCTGTTCTATCATCACTTCCCCGTCGGTGAGAGAGCTCCAAGAAGGTTGGATTTCTAACACAATGCCCTCCAGAAGTCAAACACTAAAGAACACCTTAAAAGTCCATTGGAACACAAGGAAAAAGATACCTTAAAGTTGGTTTAATGTTATAAACCCCCTTCAATAATCTTCTGGATATTTTTTTGCTCAGGAACTTAACACTTCAGAGCAATTAAAAAAAAAACAAACAACCCAAACAACTAATTGGTGGTGTACCAGGTCTTTTTGTCCTTACTCAACACATAAAGATTGATAAAAACCGAACATACAAAAGTAATGGTTTCTTGGGTTTGGCTCTGGCTGAAAATTTGTGTACTTCTATTTCCACAGCCTGCCCTTTCTGTAACTCCTCTCCAGTTGCATAGGTCGAGCCTCAAAGCGTTTAAGATTTCTGGCACTGCTTCGATCAAGCACACGACTTGTGTATAAGGACATCAATACATCCCAAACTTCAAAAAGCACCACACACCTGTTTAACTGCCTTGCTCAAGCAGGGGAAGAATTACTTACATCTTCTAGACTCAAATTTTAAACTAGAAAAAGCATTGAGCAATGAGACAGATACTGTAATCTCACGCAATATAAACACCACCACACCCATCTAGGACAGCCATCCTCATAAAAGGTGAGCTATCTGCAGACAGAACTGTACAGAATATTAAAGCAGCACGTTTCTCATGAACCGCTACTGAGAAATAACGTACTTAAACTCACCAACTTTATGGATATAATGTATGAATTGACTGTATAATTACTGTATTTTATCTGCCTGTTCCTACTACTCTCTACTGCGCAATTAAAAATTAACTGAGCGCACTCACACAGTTCCGCCGATTTTTTCCAGGTTTCTTTAAGCTGCATGAAAATATTTTAAAATTTGGCTGTTTAGAATTGTGTATTAAATCATCTTTAAGTTGCACAGCAGAAAAAGAAGAGTAATATGCCACTTAGTCCTGCACTTTCACAACACGGGCACCCAATATAAATGGGAGCTGGATGCCCTCCTGACTAGAGTAAGCCTTCGAGTATCTGCCATCCATCACAACATGACCCAACCACTGAGAAACAAATCAGAATACGTAAGAAGCTATACACCAGGCCACTCAAGCCCATCTTTTTTCCTACAAAGTCTTCAGACTGCTGGCTTTCAAAAACCTTTGAGGCATCATCCAACCTAATGATTGCAAGGCTTTATTCATTCTTTTCATTATAAAGCTTGTCCTATGGGCACACTTTGGAATAGAAATACTTTTTACCACAGCAATGATTCTGGCGAACAGCAAGAGGAAAAACCCCACTATTTGGTGTCATAATACAATTTTTTATCTGAACACCTCCTCCAGCATGCAAGTTGAGAAGTGACTGAGGTAAAAACTCTTTTCTTTGTGAGAGAACTTTTCCTGTGTGTTGGCAGATTTATTGTTTTGATCTTTCTTCAACGGTTACATTAATGCTAATAAAATATGAAAGGTTTATGTCTCCCTTAATATCCTCCTGATGGGAACCTGCACACAAGATAACTAGGTCAAATTTCTAATTTTCCATCTCAAATGCTGATATATGGCAGACTTTAGGGAAAAACTATGCTTGAAGGGGGAAAAAAAGTTACACAGATGAATTCCACCAAAACATTCTTCCTTCAAAGCTCTTCCAAGCAGAAGAAATGTAGAATACTTACAGAAAAGAGGCTTCTACACAACGTGCAGTATTGACAAACACTGCTTGTATCACTTAAATAGCTTCCTAGGAAGGAACACTAAGCTGAAGCGAATGTAGTATGAAATATTCACCTACATAGTCTACTACTAATGCCTGAAGATGTCACACCAATTCTGGGCAATATTTTGTAGCCAATGTTTTCTTGTCAATTCCCATATTTACCTGGATTCCCAAATGCAGACTTCGAAAACATGGTAATTTATTTTAAAAATGAAAGTTAGCTGAAAACTCAAGCTCTGGAGAAGAAAACTGTAACTCCTGGTAACAGGTTTATTAGTGTAAGGGACTACAAACAAAATATGCAGATCACTGAGCAAATAATGTAAAAAACACTGGGGGGAAAATGAGGTAATATAAAATCATTAGGTTTAGTTGACTGAAGATGAAACTTGCGGCATCAAATTAAGATCTCCTTATTTTCTTGCTAAACACACCAAATGATTAACATACAAGCATATAGGGACCAAACATTAGCATAAACTGAAAATAAGAGAACTACTGAGCAAAGTTAGCCAACCATTTAATGGATATTTTTCAACGTCTCTAGTAGCTTCATCTGCTGTGTTCTAAGGAGCTTTTACTGTTGCCATTTGACACTCCAAATAGCAGACTTACTTGCCTTTTTGCTAATCACAAGCACATTTCTTTAAATATTCATATAGTAGTCTCAGTTTTCAGTATCTATAGCATCATAGAAAGCTTTTAAATTACCCTGCAGTGAAAACCAGAGTTAAACATTACAATAGCTAATGTATAGAGAAAATACAAGTAATACCATGAGCAAAGCAGATTACTTTGCAAGGGACACAGTGGCAAACATTCCGTCTTGTTTAGGTACACCTCCACGGCTACGTAGAAAAGAAAATCCAGTCTTCCTATTCTGGAAAAGTTGGATCTAGTATCTTCCAGCACCAAACTTAAAAGAGTTCTTTGGCAAACAACACTCCTGGCACTGCTGCAGATCATCATGCATTACTTGAGAGGTCTGCACCTGCACCAAGTGCAAGGAAACGTAGCTTCTCTTTCACTTTCCTTCCCTGCAGACCAAGCCAACTTGCGTCATCGCACATTCGCCGCAAGCTAACAACACGCGTATACGGAATAACTACCCTTCAGCTATACATACAGTAACTTGAGACACTTCAGAGGTACTTCAGAGGAAATGTACCTTGAACTCTTGAAAGAATAAAAGCCCTTAATCAACCAGGAATAACCTTCCTTTCTGCACACTCAGTACAGCTCAACTGGTACATAAATGTAAATATAGGCAAAAATTATTTTTGAAACACAGACTGCTCGAACATCACCACTACCTGGAGGCTTGCCACTGCCGCTCCACAGGAGGTTATGGCTTCCCATAGTGGTGCTGATGGAAAGGATCATATGAGCTCTCCTTAATCCATGCAAAACCAAAGTCTGAAAAAAATCTGAGCCAACGAGAGTAACTTGGCTGCCTGCCTGAATGAGAGCTCCCACCATTCTTCGTGACAGATCTGCTGCAGAAGCAGCAACTTCCACCTGGCAATGACCTAACGTGTCACTACCAACACCAGCTCTGTGAGAGATTATCCATCTATATCCTCCACGTAGAAATAAAGTCATCAAAAGGGCCCAAAGCAGGTAAAATGTAGTCTCCATGCAAACATCAGCTGTCTATACTGCATCTTCCATCAGGGAAAGTAAAGCCAATATGCTCTAAACAGTTTTCTACTCAATACTTTGCATTTAAAGGGGAGATTTCCAGAACACTATCACAATCATCAGACTTAAATCAAACCGATTGTTCCTGTATGTCTTATGTTTACAAAGATTAACTGGAAACCGTATATTTATAGACTTATGTTTGGCAGGGCTCAGAGGTGAACTACCTGCCAACCAAATCCTTTGGTATGTACATTTCTGACAGCAAAGCAACAATATTTATTTTCTCTTGGCATTTGTCAGATATAGTCACTACCCTTGACTACTGAACTGTAACCATAGAGCTATGTATCATGCAAAATCTATTTCCTTGACCCCCCCCAAAACACATACCTGAGTCGCAAGATCTTTTGGTTGGTGTGGTTAACGAGGCATGAGCTGTACCTGTGCATGGCCCACCTGGAAACAGAGAAGATCATGTGTCTCAAAATACTACCTACATTTAACATGCATAACCACATCAAGATTATACTTAGGAATATAAAATGCTGAGGAGCACTCGTCTTTGGAAAGCACATATGGAAGTAGTCTACTATATTCTCAGCATTTCTTTCCCAGTCAAACCAGAATTTGTCTTGCACTGAAAAAACAGATGAGAAGTTGGGAGAAAAAGACAAGTTACGTTATACAAGTTACATTAAACACTTCAAAAGGTAGTTTTAGGAAGATACACACCATAATTAACTGCAATTTTTCCAGCACTGACAAAGGTGCTGCTTATGTTGGAACAAAGCTAGAAACGTATCTGACTAACCCACAGGTAAAGCAAGGGATGAACGATCACTTCCCCGATGTCACCAGAAACCTCGTCACCGACTCCAGTGAGATAACGACTTTGCCTCTTATCTTGTTCTCGTTATGTTTTCCAAGCGTGGCACAAGCATATGCTAACAAACTGTTTAAGTCTTTGCTGTTGAACTCTGGACCCTTGCCCGTTAATCTGGTATCTGCTTGGTAGCAAATTGCCTTCTGGCTTTTTTCTTTACGTGCATCATCATTGAAAAGTTCTCCAGAGATCTTGTTAAAATAGCAACCAATTGGAGTGTACTCGGAGACTTGCAGTATAAATAAATAAATAAAAATAAACCCCGTACAGTGAAGCCAAGACAAATTGACAGTAGCATTACCAGTGGTCATAACACATCATACCTTTGATAATTGGATATTATAAACTGGATGATGCTAGAGAGCCTGAAATTAAGTTAGATCTAGTAAAGTTTGGCTATCACAATACCAGTAATCAAGTTTGCACTGGACTGCTGGACTTACAGTAGTACTATGCTGGCAATACAAGAGCTTAGTATGACAGGGTAACCTTTAACATAAGTCTTCAAGCCCTGAAAAATACTTTTTCCCTTAATTTTATCAGTCTTTGAATATCTGGAAAGGAGCACTATGGCTTTGCCAATGTTTTTCTCTTTTCAAATACTGTCAAGTCTGGCCTGGTAACAAACTGGTTCTTTTTGCTTCTCTCCAAAATGCTCCCCCTTCCAAGTTTTTCTTTCATTTCTGTTTTTCAGTATCAGGTCTTGGGTAACTTTGTCTACCCTGTAAAACACATAGCATCGTAACACTACAAAAAAAGAAAAGAAACATCTGCAATTGGGAGGGGAAAGACATCAATACTGCAACAGAACCCTTACCAAATTTTCCATTGAAACCTTTTGGATATTCAAAAAATGACACAGCAGGTCTGTTAAGTCAGTCTCAGCTTTCAAAGACCAAGTATATAGTATTTGTATCAGTATCAAATCTGGGTAAAAATATATACACAACAGGATGTGGAATATATCAAAATACATACAACAGGGCATGGAATTTCCATGAACTGACTTTAGACCGCAGCTGCCTCTTAAGATGCAGCAGCTCTTCTTTACATAAATTTAGTTATATTCTCCCAGTTTTCACTGCCTAGACATTGACAAGCATCATCACTGTGGCCTATCAAATAAGACTAACCCTTGCAATTACGGTACTGTAAATATTTAATCTAGTTGATACTTTCAGCATCCAACCAATATAGACACAAGATCTTTATTCCTCACTCTCTGAAGTACAATAAGTTGGTATGCACTCTGCACTTCCCTGTGTCAGTTTTTCCTTTTATTTAATTTTCCCTCATTAGGTATTACTTTCATATCGCTCTGATTTGTATAGCACAGCACCAGAGTTTCAAAGAATATCTTGGGATTTGCATGCACGTACACCAGCGCCTAATAACCAGCGAAGGCTGCATGTCCTTTGCAGCACTTCCTTCTGCTCCCGTTTTTGTTCCACCATTAAAAATGTCATGCATAATTCAATACTATGTAGTATGGGCTTGACGCTGCAATTCTATGTAGAAGTCATTATGTTGAATCTTGAAGTATACATAACAGCTAATACAGGCATCTGTGTTATCTGAAACAGGGCAGTGTATTTCCCACAGCTTTGATAAAAATTCTTCATGAAAGAAAAAGGAAGTCAGATCATAGAATCATAGAATGTTTTGGGTGGGAAGGGACCCCTAGAGCCCACCCAGCCCAACCCCCCTGCAGGAGCAGGGACACCG